GTTTCTTAACAACTAGATGCCACGTTGCCATATGATTTTTTGATTGGTTGACACGGTACTTTTTTGGACGTATAGGAAAGGGAGAGGGGGGTAGGGTTTGTTTTTGCTCACAGGCAGAGAGTGTTTTCGAGCCTTTTTTCGTATAAAATGCAGTTTTTACCGTTTCTTCCCAAAGTAAATATAAACAACGATAGTATTCAGGAAGAAAACCAAACATTGCATATATTTTTATCATAACTATGGTTTTACGTGGCCTATCAACTCAATTTAAAAACTAGTATAAAGTCCACACTTTTTCCGTCAATTGTTCCGTCTGTCCTGCTCACATCTCCAATGGTTGTACACGTTGTCATTAACGTGGCTTCACTCCACATCAGCCACGCCGCTTTGCTAGCTAAAACACCGGTGTCAGCATATAAGGACGCTGTCATAGCCTGTCAACGACGTTGATTAGCTGCGTATGTGCGAATGTGAATCGCATTATTGGCTGGACTATGAGATAAGATGGCATCGTTCTAAGCCCATATGGGAGCAGCCAGTCACTTACTGACTAACACTGCAAAACAGAATTGTCAAAGTATTAATTTTAATTTCAATTCAGGTTAGATTTTTTTGTGTGCAGAGACCGTGCCAGCAGTGCGCAATTGCGCTTAGAGGGAACATTGTTTACAATATAAATCGCCTTGAGGCGACTGTTGTTGTGATTTGGTGCTATATAAATAAAATTGAATTGAATAATTTTTGACCTACCTCTCACTTTGGATGTTCCTATCAAATCTCTGGTTTGGTCTTGGTTTTATCACTTAAGAAACATTGCTAAATTAAGCCCTATTGTATCTCGCACTGAACTGGAGATTGTTATACATGCATTCATTTCATCATGATTAGACTACTGTAATTCACTGTTTATATGTCTAAGCAAAAACTCCTTGGAGCATCTGACGATTGTTCAAAACGCTGCAGCAAGGCTTCTGGCCAGATCATCAAAGTACTCACATGTGACACCGTTGCTAATACTGTTGCACTGCCTCCCCATTAAATTCAGAGTCCATTTTAAGATTCTGGTTCTGACCTTCATGGACAAGCACCAGCTTGCATCATTGAACTTTTACAGCCCTATGTCCCTAGCAGGTCCCTGAGGTCATGTGATCAAGCCCTAATGGTTATTCAGCATACAAGGCTGAGAACTAAGGGAGACAGAGCTTTTACCACTGTGGCTCCCAGACCGTGGAACTCTCTCCTACTGAGCTTAAGATCTGTGGACTTAGTAGTCTCTTTTAAATAACAACTAAAAACACATCTTTTTAAAATTGCATTTTGTTAACTTTTGTCTGTTTTGGTTTTATACTTAATCTCTGTGTGAAGCACTTTGTAATCTTTTATCTAGAAAGGTGCTATATAAATAAAAATTTACTTACTTACTTTACCTGTTCAATGACCTGCTGATTTGTAAGTTAATAAATAACCTCTGATATGTCACATTCATTATTTGTGTGTTCGTTGTTGGTTCCAGGTGCGTTGTATGTCTGCACTGAGGACTCATTTCCCATTAAGCGTCTGCACCAGCTGATTGGCGAGCAAGTCTGTCTGCGTTCTGACGTTCCTGCGGACCTTGTAAGCAGTCTTTGCTTCAGCGACCACGTTTACATTGAGCATGCCGCGGACCTGGTAAGTCTGATCATGCGACATCTGTTCAGACCCTGTTACAACCCATAACTTCTTGCTCTGTCCTCAGGATTCCCTCCTGGTGTGCCTAACACGCCGCGCCCGCCTCCTACTGACACGCGGTCTGGTGCGCCTAATCGTGGTCGACTCAGTGGCAGCGCTGTTCAGGACCGAGTTCCAGGCCGATGATTGGCTAGAGAGGAACAGACAGCTACTCACCTTCTCCTCCATGCTGCATCACCTGAGTCAGGAGTTCAGCACACCTGTGCTCTGCATCAACCAGGTAACACCATCCAGGTAGCACACCAGAGTTCAGTTTCTTATCTCTGACCACTAATCAGTGACAGGTGTTTGTTTTCCAGGTAACAGATGTTTTCAGCCAATCACACAACAGTATGGGGTAAATCAGATATCTTCTTTATGAGCTGATCACATTTTGACCTTTGACCTCAGAACCACTTCAGCGTAAATTTCCTCCTACTCAGGCCTTCGCTGTCCACCGTGTCTCCTGCTCTTGGGTTGGCGTGGGCCAATCAGGTGATGGTTCGGCTGATGATGAGCCGTCTCCAAGGAACGGTCGTCCGTGGTGACCAGAGCAGTGCTCTCCGTAGGTTGGAGGTGGTGTTTGCGCCTCACCTGGCACGTGACGGACAAAACGCTGCCGTGTGGAGAGAGGGGCTCAGAGGAGTTGAGAGCTGGGCTTCAAATAGAAAATAAACTTTATTAAACAGCATCAGTAGCATCAGATTATTAAAGAGTGATCACACTGTTTCCTGACTATTCTGAAGGTTGTGGACACTGATGCATTGACTGGGGGTCAGACAGGTGTGTTAGTGGCCTCATATCTCTTTGATCTGGACAGAATGAGCTGGGAGGTCCAGACTGATACATGATCCTGATTTTGCTGTGCAGGTGGACTCTAGTCTGTTCAGGAGCCTATATTCGGTTCTGGTTGACCCGCTCAAGTGGATTCACATTATTTTAAGACTGAACCTTTTTTTTGATCAAGGTCTTTTTATTGAACAAAGAATTGCTTCCAACAACAATTACGGCAATATTAAGAAACAGTCGTGCCCCCCCCCC